TTGGATGTGGCTGCTCCTCCTCTCTGCTTCCAGTCCTGCTTTGCTGCCCGTTTTGTCTGAAGCCACCAACAGAACAGAAACTTTGAACTCTCTAACAGCTTCCTTCCTGTCCTCTCCTTTCATGTTGGACGGATGGGATGAGCAGAGTTATAAACGTTCCCACTATTTTAAGCGGCTTCTTTACAAACACTGATAAATCACTTGGAATACGTTTCCTTTCACGTGTGTTTTGAAACGCCAGTAAAACACATCTTTGACGGATATGTTGAGAGAGGAAGGCCTGTTTTTAGTGTGCAGTCAACACACATGTTCCTTCAGTATTTGGGGTTTTAGTTAACTTGAGTGTTTTAGTCAAAAACTTAGACACTAGATAAGTATTTTTTAAAACTCAGGATATATATTTAAATCCAATCCATTTAAAGTGTTGCACTAAAACAGTAATTAGACCTCAGTATAGCGTGTATTTTTTAATTTGTGTGTTTTTTGACATTTGAGCTATAGGGCACGTCTCATATTTGTCAGCAGCATGAGGTAGTTTTTACCTCTATTGACCAGTAGGTGGCGCATGGTGCAGCTGTTTTATATCTGGAAGCTAAACTGTGACATGTTCCACTAATTACATTGTTTTGGCCCAAATATCCTGCAGATTGTGACGATGATTCAACTGATGAACTTTCTTGAAAAACACTCAGAAATTCTTGTAACAATATGAACACCCAGAGGAGAAGAACAGAAATATGAGCTGTGAACAGTAAGAAAAATAGAAATAATACTACACTTATACAGGTACATTTGGATTTGTGTAATATTTTCCAGGTACATTTATATAATAAATAATATTGTACTGTCTGTACACCTGTATTTGTCTATTGGAAAAGACTTTGGCTGTATTTGGCTCTGTTTGTCTGCTGTTTTAAATGTGGTTTATAGATAACAGTGACTTAACCTGACTCCATTTAACAGCCAGTGGGTTAGTATACCAGTGTCTTTTTCTTTTTCTTTTTTTTTTAAAGAGAGAGATAAATAGGGGGAAATAAATTGAATTATTCCTCTTTTAGGCAATTACACTGCAAGGCCCTCACAGAATGATCTTATCATTATCATTATTGTTATTATTAGTAGTAGTAGTAGTAGTAGCAGTAGTAGTAGTAGCAATCTAGTATTATAAAGTAGTTATATTAATGTTCTCCTCCTCCTTCTTCTTTTTATTGTTAGTAGTAGTAGTAGTATTAGTAGTCGTAGTAGCCCAGTAAAATATAATAGTTCGAATGACAAAAATTGAGATATCACTTTTTGCAATCGTTCCATTAAATGTTATGAATTATTAACATTGTTCTTTTCCTTTTATTCTTCTTTTTTGTTGTTATTATTGTTGTTGTTAGTAGTAGTAAAAAAAAGAGAAAGAAAATAATATTTTTTTCATTCTCCATTTTTTAAAAATTAGTTCGAAATGAAGAATTGAATTGAATAGTAGTTGTTGCAGTAGCATTAAAAATGTAATAATTCAAAATACGCCCCCCCCCCCAAAAAAAAGAAAAAAAAAACAATCACATTTTTAATCGTTATTAGATTATGTAAACTACCATCAATCCAAGATAAATAAAATAAAATAAAACCCTGCTGCTGCTGGATCACTAACTGCGCATGCTCAGTCCGTGCGGCTCAGACATGGCAGCTGCCAGTGAGAAGCTCCTGAAACCCGACAGTTGTGGACGTTTCAGAGACATTTAGCGAAATAAAAGCAGCGCTAGCAGCGGACAGATGCTGGGCTTCACTGTCACAGCCAGGATGGAGTAAAGAGCCGGAACCCTGTGACCTGTCCTGGATGGAACCGACGGGTTTACGAGACGTTTTCAGATGTATCACACTGTGTAAGCAGACCCACTTCACAGGCTTTGGTGCTGGTTTAGGCTGCATGACGGTTTAGCTGCACGTCGAGACGTCCTGTATGAGCAGCGTTAGAGCTTTAAGGTTTACCTGTGTGATGAACGTCCAGCCCTGGTTCTGCTGAAGCCTCCAACACATCTGGATGTGCACATCTGGATGTGATGGACAAACCAGATGAGAGCTAGTGAGAGAACATGCATGATGTGGTTCAGCTGAATGCAAAAGGCTTCAACAACCTTCCTCTTGTGTTTTATTCAGCCATTGCAGCGATGGAGGATATCGGTCTCCTTCCCAAACCCACCAACGACCCCCCAGGCCTCAGACCCACCGTCACCGAGACCTTGGGGCTGCATCAGGTCCCACCAGGTGGGTACGAGCTCATGAGCTGCAGCAGGTAATGTGGACACGTCTGTTATAATTAACTATGTTTATTATGTGTTCTGAATCTGTGTTTTCCTACTGAGCACATAACCAGGCCGGTGAGACCTGGTTCACACACCTGGAGACAAACTCCCCTATTCTATCAGATCGGACCGTTACTGTAGGTACACGCCGGACCAACAGCATCCACACATGATGCTTAGAGGCATGCCTGTCCACGTCATCGGTAACGGCCAGTTAAACTTGGTAGAAGGTAGAAGATACCTGGAAAAACTCAGTTCGGCTGGACATGAGGTTACTCTGTCTCTCTTTCCACGTGACCTGAACAAACTGTTTAATCTGAGACCTGAACTTTTCTCCGACTGTTTCTTGGAGCCGTTTCAACAACAGAACTGGGTCTAACGCGTCCTAACAGGATAAATGCATGCATGCTTTCCTTCTCAGACCAGCTGCAGGTGACTGATGCGAGCAGGAAGTTGGAGGTGGACAGAGATGGAGCGTCGAGGAAAAGGTCTCCCTCAGTGATCACAGCCGAGTCGCTGATGGTTCCCCCGTCACAGAATCTGGCTCCTGTGGGTGCTGACGCCGGTAAGTAACGACCGGTGGACTCCTGGTAACGCTGCATTTAACCACCACGCCCATGTTTTGAAGGAGCATCCTCTTATTTAGATAAAAGCACAGTTTCATCCAGTTTTATTCATCATTTGGAATGTAGCTCGCAGTACGGACCTGCTGTAAATCTGTTCACCTGAGCTGCTCAGCGTGGGTTCTCTCCGGCTTCCTCCCACAGTCCACAAACATGCTGAGGTTAATTGGTGATTGTAAATTGTCCGTAGGTGTGAATGTGAGTGTGCTTGGTTGTCTGTCTCTAAGTGTAGCCCTGTGATAGACTGGTTACCTGTCCAGGTGAACCTGCCTTCACCCTGAGTCAGCTGAGATAGGCTCTGCCCCCCATGACCCTGGTGAGGATGAAGGTGTAGAGATGATGGATGGATGGATGTTATTGGCTCTTTTTAAGTCAATATCAATGTATACAAATACTAACATGCACATTTCTGACTTGTTTTTTGGGGCGTTGTGACCCAGTTCTGTCGTCATCGTGGTGTTTTACACTGTAAAATGAACTCACATATTTTTGTACGACAGTTTTTTGCCTCTTCTCAGCTCACACACACACACACACACACACACACGCAGTAGCTTTATAAAGACATATCTGCAATATCCTCGTATTTGTTTTAGTCCTAACTCCATGTTTCAGGAGTCCTAACATCCTATCAGATGTGATGTTTTCATGCCAGAAGCAGCTTTTTTATTCAAAGCAAAAATACCATTTTTTAGAAGTCATCAGATTCATCAGATGTCGTTCCAGACAGGATGACTCAAAAAGTATAGTTAAAAAGTAGGCCACCAGTTCTGGCCTGTGAATAACCAGCAAAGAATAATATGGATCAATCATTACTGGAATATTTATTTGGAAGCCTTTTGAAAACTCAAAATGTAGTTTCTAGCAGCGTCTGTGCAGCTCAGACCTCCACTTCCAGTAATAACGAAGCTGTTTTTCTCCTGTTTGTTTGTTTGTTTCTCCAGCGTTCCTTCATACAGCTGCCAAAAATGGAAACACTAATTTGGATAAGACAGGCGCCGCGAGAGCCAAAGTCAAAGTCGCAGATCCGTCCAAGTGGAAGCAAAACAAGCAGAAGCAGCTGAGGATGGAGGGGAAAGCGTATGTCAGCAAACGCAAGAAAGACGGCGAGATCGTGACCAAGCAGCCGAGAGCGATGGGGCCGAGATGCACCTCGGACGCATGCAGGAAGGCGTCCAACCGGCTGTGCAATGACATCACAGACGAGGCGAGGAGGAGAGTGTTTGATGACTTCTGGCAGCGCATGAACTGGTCCCAGAGAAAACTCCATGTAGCAGCACAAGTGGACCGCGACCCCGTGGAGAGGTCTCGGGCGGCGGGCCTGCAGTCGAGGAGATCGGTTTCACTGCGCTATCACCTGATGGTGGACGGCAAAAGGAAGCAGGTGTGCAAGAACATGTTCCTGTCCACGCTGGGGGTTGGAGAGTGGTCGGTGCTCAACTGGACGCAGAGAGGAGCGACGAAGAAATCAAATGAAAACAAATCCGACAAGAGGCTGGCTCTGCCTCAGCGCCCACAGCCGATGCCTGCTCCTGCAGCGCTCAGCAACACTGTGGACGCTACTCAGGGTGAGTGGATCCTCTCTGCTCCGGGCTGATGTGTGTTTGCTGGTGTTGTTTTACAGCCCTGTGAACTGAATGTCTTTAGATTTATAACTGCTGGATGGACGTGAATTTAAAGCTGTTTCCGTAACTTTCCACCTGAAAGCTGCCAGATTGAGCCGGTACCAGCTCCACGAGTCTGCAGCCAGAATCAACAACCTTGGGCTCTTTGGATAAAAGACGCGAGTGAATCAGTTCTAAAGCTTCTCAACTGCAACTCTGAGGCGAGCGAAATGAACCACCACGTTGCTGCATCTATTTTAGTGGCAGTAGCACCAGGCAGTCTACTCTGAATGTGTTTTAATAAACACAGGCAGGTCCCGCCACCTCCAGGATGGAACGACGTGATTGGACACCGCGCTGTCCTCTACTGGTCAACCAAAAGTTAGTGGAGTGATCCTCAACCAAGTTTTAATAGTTCAAGAAACATATCTTAACTCGACATGGAGGGAAAACAGTTCCAGACACACACTGTCCTTCACAAAGTCGGTCTCTGTGGTTTTTGGATGGTATTTAGTCAGGAAGTCAGAAGTGTGGCATCTTTTCAGAGGGTGAAGGTTAAAGTGACATGTAAACTCACACTGTGTATTCTTACTGGTGTTGCTGCTACTCACACTGTGTCTGTGAAGATCCTCAGTCCTCCGGGTCATGGTTATTCTCGTAGATTAATCGTATCAACTGGACCTGCTTGAGTTCCTTGAAGACGTTCCATCTCTCATCCAAGAGGCTTCATCAGCTCTGACTGACTAGTTGGGAGTTCCACATATTGATATCCTGGAGGAGACATTAACACCTGAGTTTGGGTTTGAGTCGGGGGTTTGTTGCTCCTCCCCCTCGTTATGTGGGTCATTAGTGCTCCCCCTGACACAGTGGGGTTCGTTAGGGTCTTCTGTGGCTAGGTGTGGATGTGGTTTCATCTTCTTGGGGAGAGATCTCAGGACTGAACTGTAAACCGGTGAGAGGTGATGCTTCAGACCTCCACCTCTGCTGAGGGATGGTCTTTCCAGTTGGACATAGATGGCTTCTTTCACTCCTCTCTCAAACCATCTGTCTGCTCATAAGTAGCTGCGGTTTTCTATTTTTTCTGTAACACAGTATTAACACTCTCAGCCTACTCATAAGTCAACTCAGATCATGTCTGGATGCCCCCCTCCCCACAATACATGTTTATAAAGTTGGTGACTATCATAAAGATGCAATGACTAGTCGACTCTGACAGTCTTTGGTCAGCCCTAATTTGATAAATAATTGATGGTGACATTAGCTGCAGCCCTGCTCATCACTCTAAGCAACCTGACAATGAGCACCATTATTTTCTTCATGCATGTTAACAACAATCCCTGTTTTTCCAGAACAAGTTCATCCCACCGACAAAGACAAACACCAGCCGCCAGAACCAGAGGGGCCCGTCAGGAAGAAATCCAGAGTCGCCAAGCCGCTAACATGGAAACAAAACCGACAGAAGCAGCTGAGGATGGAAGGAAAACCGTACGTCAGCAAGCGCAAGAAAGACGGCGCCACAGTAACCAAGGCTCAGAGGACCATGGGACCCAGATGCACATCCAGCGCCTGCAGGAGGGCGTCCAACCGCTTCTGTGCCGACTTTAGCGACGAAGCGAGGAGCGAGCTGTTCACCGGTTTCTGGCAGTGCATGAACTGGGCTCAGAGAAAGATCCACGTGGCCGGACTGGTCGACTGTGACCCGGTGGAAAGAACCCGAGCGCCGTGGACTCAGTCGAGGAGATCAGTGTCGATGCGGTATCATTTGTTAGCCGACGGTGACAGAAAACAAGTGTGCAAGAAGATGTTCCTGTCCACTCTGGGCATCGGGGAGTGGTCGGTGCTGAACTGGGCCCAGAATGTGTCTGAGCCGGATAGCTCAGCAGAAAACACTAAGAAGCAAACGCAGAGGAAGTCTCGTAAAGCCTCGGAGCACGTGTTCCTGAAGGAGTTCCTCGACAGTTTACCCAAAGTGCCCTCAGACTGCTTCGGGACGTCCATCTCCAAGCTGTACCTGGAGCCCGTCTTCTCGAACATGTCCGAGGTGTACCGGCACTACTACAACCACTGCCTCGAGCAGAAGGCCACGCCGCTCTCCCGCCAGGTCTTCTGTGCCGTTTTTAAGAAGATGGATTTAGGACTGTGCGACCTCAAAAAGGATCAGGGCTGTTCTTTTGGTACAACAGGAAACTTGTTTAATGAGCTCTGGGAGGAATACTGCATGGAGAGAGGAGCTCAGGCAGAGAAAGCAGGGAGCCAGTAGAGGAGGATCCATCAAACAACCGGACCTGATGACCTTCATTATGTTCTGTTCAGCATCGATAGGTGTTGCTTCGTCAGCAGCCCGACTGTCTTCATGCAGCTCAAACAGATGTTCCACCAAAGTGTAATTATTTCAGCACGACATCCGTTTTGCTCCTTTATGATGTGATTCATTTTGTCGGCCATCAAACGGCATCACTACAGAAGAACCCACTAGAACATTCATCAGCTGTTGTGAAAGCTGAAAGCCTCTGAAAGGACTTGAAACTACTCAAAGTATTTATTTTTTTGTGTGAATTAAATAGAAACAAAAAAACGCAGCACTTTGCAGAATCCTTTCAGAGTAAGAGCTCGACTCAAGGTGGAGGTTTTTTTGATGTGTGTGTGTGTGTGTGAGCTTCGACGCTGGTTTGAAATGGTCCCTCAGGTCCATCACGAGTCCGGTCTCTGTTGGAAAACATGATTGCAGCCTGAGTGAGTGCCTAAGAAGTACTACAGATACACCTGAATGGACATTTAGCTGCAACGGCATCAGTGTGGCCACTTAACCCCAGTGTCCATCCAGGGTGAAGGCAGGTTCACCTGGACAGGTAACCAGTCTATCACAGGGCTACACTTAGAGACAGACAACCAAGCACACTCACATTCACACCTACGGACAATTTACAATCACCAAGT